CTTTATTAGCAGATACTACTAACACCAGTTTAAATCAAGCAGTTTTTCCCAGTTCACTTAAAGTTGGATTCGTAGTGCCAGTATTCGAGAAGGGTGACCCGCATTCTGTCAAAAACTATCGGCCAATCACTTTATTAGCCATAATAGGGAAGATTATGGAACGAGTCATAGTCAAACACTTGTACGATTATTTGATGACAAACAATCTAATCTCAATTCATCAGTCAGGGTTTGTTAAAAAAGATTCTTATGTAAATCAGCTACTGACCCTTCTCCACTATATCAATGAGGGCTTAGAGGAATCGAAATTTGTGCGTGCAATTTATCTAGATTTTTCAAAAGGGGTTTGACTCAGTTAGTCATCGAGGGTTAATCTATAAATTAAGACAGAAAGGAGTTTGTGAGCAAGTCGTGAAATGGATCGAGGATTATTTAAAAGACAGGAAAATTAAGACAATCATTGACGGTTTTGAATCTGATTTAGCTAGTATCAATTGTGGGGTCCCCAGGGATCTGTACTTGGACCGCTCCTGTTTCTGGTCTTCATTGACGATATAGGAGAAGGTCTAGAGGCTGTTTTCAACCTTTTAACTGATGACACTGCCTTATTCCATCATAGTTTTTCAATTGAAAACACCACCAAAATTTTAAATGCAGACTTGACAAAAGTTTCTCTTTGGTGTAAAACTTGGCTGATTGACTTAAACACTGACAAATGTGTTGCTCAGCTCTTTCATAGGCATGCACTACCAAAAAGCTTCTATTTGCCACCACTGTTAATTGATAACAATCCTGTGCGTGAGATTTCTGTACATAAACATCTAGGGTTACATCTAAGCTCAAATTTATCTTGGGATATGCATATTAATTACGTGATAGGGAAGATAACTACCACTCACAACTACATGCGTTTATTACAATGGAGTATGTCTCATCATGCATTAGATTCTGTGTATAAAACGTATATAATGACTAATATCAATTATGCAAATGAAATTTACTCTATAACTATGCAAGTAAATGTTAAAAAAACTTGAGAGAGTTCAGTATCAAATTGCTTTAACAGTTAGTGGAGCGATGCAGGGTTCGGCAGCAGATAAAGTCATTCGGGATTTGGGATGGTTAACATTTTCTCAGATATTTTATACAAACAGAATGTGTATTTTCTTTAAGATCCTCATGGGTTTCAATCGCGTAAATCATCAGATTTTGCGCTATATGGCTCCTGATACTCACTATGAGTTAAGATCAAACCATGCTAATCGGCTGCTTGGTTTTGCAGATAAAAGTAATTTCTTTAATAACTCATTTTTTCCGATAGCCCTTAATGATTGGAATATTCTCTCTGCTGTACAGCCACAACTCTGCGTTCGAATGCAGCCTAGAATGTTTCGGGAGAAACTTAAGGTCCATCTGTTAAAGCCCTGCTTTGCCATTCCCTCGTCAGCCTCTCGTAAATTAGAAGCAAATTATTGTCGAATAAGAACAGATTTCTCAACTCTGCGGGCACATTTACAGATGCATAAGCTTGTCGATAATAGCATCTGTCAACAATGTTTTGACACGAGAGTCGAAGACTCAAAGCTATTTTTTTGAGTGTACGGCTTATTATCAGGCTAGACTGACCCTTGTCACTACATTGGAGAAAGAAGATGTTAAAATTGATTTAAACACGCTTTTATTACGATCTAACTTTGAAGATGAAAATAAATTTAAACTTGTCTATGATGCATGTGTAACTTCATAGCCAACACGGGAAGATTCAGTTAGACTGTGTAGACCTGTCCTTTTCTTGTTAAACTATTGGAACGGTGCTCTCTTATATGCACATATATGCATTGTTTCATTTATTTATTTTTTTGCAGGTGACGTTACATTCACAGAGAAAAAAAAACAACAACCGAAACTCACTCACACACGGAATTTTATTTTTATCTGATGTAGTTACATCTGTCTTCTTTCTTTCTTCTTTCTTTGTTTGTTTTTCCTTTGTCTGTCTCTTTTACAAAGAGGGTATATTGAGCGATATAATGCAATCTTTGACTGTGATTTTGTTCAGTATATTACTCTTTTCCTTCTTTCAAACAAATAAAAAGTTTATACTAACTCCGATTTCTTCCACAGAAAAATGTACGAAGTTTTTTATGGACAAACGCCGATTTCTTGATGGAAATATAGGAAGTTCTTGTGGAAAAAGATTGATTTCTTCAGTGGAAAACATGAGTTCTTATGGAGAAACGTCGGTTTCTACCGCAGAAAAATATGAAGTTGTTGTGCCGAATCACCGGCTTTTTCGGTGAAAATCATGAAATTCTTGTGGAAAAACATTGATTTCTTCATGGAAGAATATGAAGTTCTTGTGGAGAAACACCGATTTCTTCCGCAGAAAAATACGAAGTTTTTATGGACAAATGCTGATTTCTTCATGGAAAAATATGAAGTTCTTATGGAGAAACGTCGGTTTCTTCCGCAGAAAAATGTGCAGTTCTTTGGAGAAACGCCGATTTCTTTACGGAAGTATATGAAGTTCTTGTGCAGAAACACCGACTTCTTCAGTGAAAAACATAAAATTCTTGTGGAATAGTTATAAGTTATTATTTTAATAGCATTTTTGACATGCCTAGTGCAACTGCTCTACTATCATTTATTGCCGTCGCACACACACAGAAGAAATCACAACAACAACAACATATAAAAGTTGTATCTGACACACGAACATGACATGACAATAAAAAACGAGAAAACATTTTCATAGATGAATAGAAAGGTGACAATATTGTCATAAAATGGAGAATTATGAGTTTTTAGAGACAGATGATCCCGCGCAGCAGAACACTATAAGATTCAGTGTACGTATAAGAGCCATATGTTTTATTTTTGGCTATATTTACTATTTCGTATCTGAACAGAACAAAACATAGTCCCATTTCCATTTATGTGCTAAGCACGAAAAGAAATCTTGAGTCAATAACAAGGCAGATCAGCTGACAAAATCAATTTACTAAAAACATATAAAAAAGACATGATTATCTGTTCAATGAGCTTATTCTGTCTCTCAGTCTTATTACATAGATAAAAAAACCAACACGCACATATTCATGCAAATAAAGGTTAAAAGAATCTGACAGACGACATATGTATGTGTCTGAAGTGTTTGAGCGAAAAAGAGTAAGTACTTAGGGCATACCAAAAGCAGTGGCGCCGACCCTATAATATTTTATAGAAGGCTTATGAAAATTTTTTTTCTATATATTCTGATAGCCCAAGTCGTGCTCTATAATTCTACAATATTGCCTCATTCGTCTGGTGATATCATAATAATAAAATTTCGATTTGCTAAGGTTTGCTCTTAACTTTTATTTCTTTTCTTCTTGAGAATACACAATAACTGCTTAAGTAATTCCGTTATTTTTTATTCGTTTTGGTCGAGTAATGTCTCATTCGAAAGATCAGCAAAAACTAAACAAAATCATGTACCTTCGCTTTTTCTAAACTCAGTACTAATTTTGTAAGAGGTTCATCAAGTGAAGGATTATGATTTTCACATACAAATTGTTTCTATCAAAACCCACTTTTGGGCATCCAAACAGGATTTCCCTAGAAATATGAAGGTAGCATTAGATAGAAAATTCAATTTTCTACAAACTGAGCCAAAAAGCTTTATTTAAAAATTCCTGCAACAATTTGAACACTTGAAAATCAGATAGCCGACCGACATCGTTTTTGCAGTTTTTTGAGGTTTTGGGCATCAATACTTCATTCTAAAACAAAAATAAGAAAATATTCAGAATCAGCGTCAAAAACTGCATCATATAATGTGCCTTTGATGTTATTTAGAGACAAAAACATTTTGAGGAAAAATTCGTCAGAAGAAAAATGTCGAAAATTTTTTGTCTCTAAATAAGAGAAAAACGCCGACAAAATAACTAAATCAAAATTTTCCAATGTTTTTATATTCTCTCAATTTTTTTATCCGACAAAAAAATGTCTGAAAGTTAGAGTTCCTGTCCTGACGAATATTCGTCAGGATAGGAATCCACGCAAAGCGATGGAAAAGCTATTGTTCCCTTGCTGAGATATTCCATATTTCCTCGGGACCCTAACGACAAATGAGTAATTTTTATGGCATTTTTGCAACATCTACATCTTAACAAGAGTAACTTACATTCGTTTGACTTGAAAGTTTTACTACTAGTAGAGTAAGCTCAAGTAATTACGGAAAGAACAGCACTTCACGCGGATGAACCCCTGAAGAACGATAGGTATCGCTCAACACCTGCAAAGGAGCCTGTTTTGGGGCATTTTGTGAACCAAACATCTTGATTACAGTGGTAACAATATGCTTCTGCTTTTCTTTTACAACATTCTGCTTGGTATTGTTTCGCTATTGTATACCTTTTTTGGTTGAAATCTAAAAGAATTATATATTGATTGAACTTGTTCTGATGACAACATGATACACTGTCTTGCGTATGAAGTTTAGACTCAAAACAAGCTTTTTAATAAAGTTTTAAGTTTTAAGATTCTCACACAATTCTAAGAAAGTGAAAACATTTTGGATTTAAGCTTTATTTATTTTAAGTGAGTTCAATCGTATAGAAATACATTATAGCTCAAAAAACATTTTTTCAGCTTTATTTTCACGTTAGTCTATATTCGATGGATAAAATATGAAAAGAGAACGGACTTATCATAGAATGGAGAACGGAAAATTATTTTTGAAATTTTTTGATTTATCGGAGAACGGCATTGAAAAGAGAACGGTTTTTTTATATATTTCTAAAAACACTGAAAAGAGAACGGTTAAAATATTTATTTTTCAAAACATTGAAAAAAGAACGGATTTACTAATAGCTACAATGATCTTCTTGAGAGAAAAGTATGACTTGACCGCGCGACGGCTAAACTAACAAATATCCACTGGCCATGCAGTTAGTTAATTCATACATAGTAATGTTCACAAAGAAGAAAGTCACACTACGTAAACTTTTTACTATACTATGTCACGTAAGAGCTGGATTTTTGAAACGCTATGCAAATCACCAACAGATCTCGATACTATTGTTGAACAATATGAATTAACGAAATTTCGAACCGAATATACATCAGTTGGTGTTAAATATACATATCGATGTGCGTTGTGCAAAAAATTTCCATCGTGCGCCATGCAGCTACAAGCAAAACAATTGAGCATGACCGATGTCGATACATTTGAAATATCTAAATTCGGTAAACACGATCATGAAAAACGAGCGTTGACAACGCGAAATTTTTGTTAATACTCAGGCTTACTCAGATGTAAACATATAAGTTTTGCATGATAGTCGAATTTCTATCAATCATTGGGAGAGGCTTAAAGAATATGGCGAGAATAACCTGGTTACTGATTAATTAATTAATCCGTTCTCTTTTCAATTATTTTATTTCACAATTCAAAACCGTTCTCTTTTCAACGAAAAAACCGTGTTCTTTCCCATTATTTATTTTCATAAATGAAAAGCGTTCTCTTCTCAACGAAAAAACCGTGCTCTTTTCGATTTTTTTTATTCCGTTCTCTTTTAATTACAAATTTTGACGTAATTATCAAACCGTTCTCCATTCTATGCAAATTTCGTTCTCTTTTCATTTCTTGTCCATATTCGATGCCTAAAACTAAGTCCGATATGAAAATGAAAAATGTTTAGTGCTCCAAACTTTGTTGGGAAAAAAGTGTGTCACAGCGTCACGCCGATAAAACACGATTATCGAGGGATGGAAAGCTCAATGGAAAGATTCCTTTTTAGCAATCAGTAGCTCGTTTACTCCTCTACAAACTTTGCTCGAGGCGCTTTGTATTAGCTCTTCTAAAGTCGCAGTAAATTAGCGTTTAATGAGAAGAACTTCGAGTTTAGGGTCTTTTTTTGTCACAGCGTCACACGCCGACTAAAACACGTCGTTCTAAAAATTCGAGTCTTTCACCACATACCTTCGTTTTTATACCAGAGGTAGAGTATGGCGAGCTGCGTCGAATGGCGCAAGAAGGTAGCGTCTAGCTCTTACACTTTTTAAGAAAAGCTCAAATTACTGCGTCAAAAATGTCACAGTGTCACGCTCAGACAAGCCGCGGAGTTACAAGCCGAAAAATATTAGGAAATTTAATTCGACTTTATTATTACAAAACTAGGTTTTTTTATTATTGACAACTGTTATTTTCTTCCTGTTGGATCATTGCTCGTTTTTCTGTATCAAACATTTTCAATTCTAATATTTATTTAGTTGATTCATCGGATATTATATGCAGTTTAAATTTGATTTTTTTTGCTTCTTCAACTCCTTTTATTCTGTTCAACCATTTATCTTTCGATATTATTTCTTCTATTTGTATTCAGAAGCATGTAAATATAATAAAAAATAAATTTTTATTAGAAATCTGAAAAAAAATAATTTTCTGGCTAGAGAAAATCTTTTTTTTTCATTGTACTAGATTTGTGTAAAAAGCGTTTTTATTCATCATTTTGTACATAAAATATCTCTATGTGTATATATTCAGCAGCTAAATAAACTCTTTGGCTACCACGGCTTTCCGGCATTCTAGTTGGGTCATAATAATCAGAGATAATGTACAGTGCGGTGTACAGTGGAAATTATTAAAAAAAGTGGTGCAAAATTATAACCTCATTTTAATTTTTTTCAATTTAAAAAGTAAAAAGGCTTTTTTAATTAGATTTTTCTATTTATTAATATTTTGCTTTCGCGTCATTAAGTCTTATAACTTCGAAAAGTCTATTTGGCATACTCGAAACTAAGTTTTTTATTTCAGTAAGACTTATTTTCGACCATTCAGTTTTAATTGCTTTTTTTAGCTCTTCTTTAGAATAAAATTGCCTTCCACCGGCATAAACGCGTCTCGATAATATTCCCCACAAGTTTTCGATGGGAATTAAGTCTGGTGAAAGTGAAGGCTACTCTAATAATTGCATTTTTTTGGCTCTCAACCATGGTAAATTAGCCTTTGCTCGATGAATTGGGGCATTATCTTGCTCGAAAAGTCAATCGCCTCCGCCAATCGTGGTGCCAATATTCACGAGATGATTTTCTAATACCTTTCGATACCCGTTTGCATTCAATCTGGTGTCAATAAAGCAAATATCGCTTGTTCCATTGTGACCAAAAGCCGCCCATATCATCACCATACCACCATCCATATTTAATAATTTAATATCGTGACATATGAGAAACATCGCATCATTTTCAATGATACACTACAATTTTCAAGTTAGAGAGTGAAATAAACGAAAATGCTACTTGCTTGAATTTCTCATTTTGTTATTACACCTTCGAAAGAGGATGCACTACAGCTAAAGGAAAATTACACAACTATAGGAAGTTTCGCCCTTGATACTGGTATTGGTGTTAGTATTATCAGTTTTGATTATTGGAGGTTTTTAAGAGTAACTAAAGTCACCTTTTCATATTCCAGCGCTGATAATGTAGGCCGTTCCATCAAACCAGTCGGTTACATTGAAGATGAAATGACTTTTACAGGTCAGAATTTTTGACAACCATTAGTCATCTCATATTAATTCATTCAAAGTGTTAT